TCAAGGATGGTCTAGTTGTTATTACTCAGTCCTGCCTCAGTGCAGGGGTTTGACTAGATGACCTGTTGATGTCCCTTCCAGTCCTACATTTCTGTGATTCACACTGAATTGCCTTGTGCCACTGTCTAGTAGTAGTGGCACACAGTTCTCTGACATGCAGGTTTATAAAATTGTAGTTAATATACAGTTTAGAGCATAGCAATTTTAAAGCTCTGCATGTTCAGACCAACTGAGCTGAAAATTGTGATCTATAGTATTCAAAACTATTAAGATGTGGGCTGAAATAAAATCAGCATGAATTGCTCAACAATATCAATGGAATCAGCATTGCGCTGCTATATATTGTAAAACATTACAGTGAAATCTTGCAAGTATTACATAGCACGCCACCTTGCCCAAGTGGTAACTAAGCACAACATCTTCCTGTTTCAACATTCTTAACTTGTATCCCTCCTGGAAGTTGTTTTTTTTCAAACACTGAATGCTGCTAAGTTATGAGTTTTAACAGGTTTTTTTTCTTTTAAACCACAGCACTGAATGTTATTCTAAAATTGTTTTCCAAATATTCTTAAACTCCCAGTTTATCCCCTGCTGATGTTCATTGTGAAAAGTATTGCAGGTCTAATAATAATATTTGGCACTTCTGTAATTCACTGTCCAACATGTGTTTTGTGCCCTCCTCTGGTGGATTTTTAGAGGATAACTGTATAGCTACCAGCTAAGGGAGTTATAGCTTGAACTCAAGTAGTAGAAGCTCATGCTTTTAAGTCTGGATGGCTCAGGTTCAATCTTTGGTGACTAGCTATGATGGAGGTTGCTACACTTATAATCCCTTTAATCAGAAGTTCTGAATATGCTTTGTTGTGGGCAGAACTAGCCTATAGTTAAGCAACCGAAAATTTAGAATGGGAAGTGTTGACATGTTGGGAAGCGTTATAATTTTGCCAATCTGGAACGAACATCCCATCTGAGGGATGGGGGCGGGGAGAGAGGAGAGTGAGACAGGACCAGGAAACTGGGACAAGGAATCCAGAGTGGTAGTGGGGGGCAGTTGAAATCAGATGAGGAGCTGGGGCAGGTTAGACAGCAATAGGACAGACATAGACTGGAGGGGACGGGGAAGAATGGTCTTTGACTACTAGAGACCACTCCGTTCTCCGAACATTTGATTCGCGGGAAGCAGGGGAGGGGGAAGAGTAGGGGGCGAAGCGTTCAGGGGAAGGGGCAGAGTTGGGGCGGGGACTTTGGGGAAGGGGCGGAGTTGAGGCGGGACCGGGGGCCCTTGGAGTGTCCTCTTTTTCCAGGACTGCAATATGGTAACCCTACCCTTACCAGTCATAAACCAATCCTTTCCCAGTGAAGGAATCATATGGAAATTTCTGTGATGTTAATACTCAGTGGGTGGATTCTCTACTGTTCTATCCCTGCTCCTAAACCCATAAGAGGAAGGAAACGTCTGTATAATATATTATATTATTGCAAGCAGTGCTAAACTAGCTGGTTATTTAATTCATGCTGTAGAAACTTTCTAGTCAAACCTCATTTTTGCTCCTGCAACTGTTCCTCTTCCTATTCCCCTTGGGGAGAAGAAGTGGCAGTGAGAGATTTTAGGCTGCAGGGAGAGGAAGACCCGGGACTCCAGGGCGAACAATGACTTTCCCCTGGCTTTTCACAATGAGATAAAATTCCTCTCTCAAGGAAAACTGAAGTCAACAATGACTTGTCTCCCTGAAACATTGCTTCAGCCCCAGGGTTGAAGGCTAAGCAGCACCCATTGCCTGGTCTGATTATACAGTTGATTACAAGATAATCCCTTGAATATTTCATGCAGGAACGAGTGTGCAGCGTCCGGGCAGTGCAGTAACATGAGCAGCTGAGATGCAGCCTTATAAAAAATTTCCCCACTTACCTTCCACCAGGTAGCACAGCAGAGTCTTGCAGACACAAACTGAACTGTTTGCAGGAGAAAGAAACCAGGAACATCTAATCCTTGCAGCAATGTCTTTTTGAGACAGAGCTGAATATGATCTAAAGCTCTGGCTTTGTGTTTGTTTTCCCTCCTCTTGCCATCCAGTGAGTTGTTAGGAATGACTATGCCAGGCTGTTGTTGATCCTTTATGAATCAGGAGGGAAAGATGCTGGAATTTCAGCAAAGAGGTGCCATGGCCTCTCAGGTTGTGGGTGGTTGTTTCCCTTCCCTCGGTAATGGTGATTACTGAAACAGAAGGTCTGGCTAATTAGCTCCAGTGTGTAGTTTGCTTAAAGCAGGCTCAAGCTGGGATGGAAATAGCCGCTAGTGCTGTTCACAGATTAAGCCAGTACAGAACCAGGAGCAGATTACACACACTATCAACATAGCCACATCTTCTTAGTACTGTTGCAACTTCCAGCCAAAGTCCTCACAGCAATATGGAAGCACAAGCACACGGTAAGTTTACCCTCTGCTTCTTAGTTAGTTGTCTGTGAGACAAAGTAATTGAGTGGGAGGAGGGCAAGGACTATCTTGTATGGACTCCAGCTGTTTTCCTTTAGTGCATTTTATTTTCAGGGGCCAATAGCTCTGGCCCATAAAAAAATGTCTTCTTGGATTTATAAGCAGGGCTTGGTTTCTAATGGCAGTCTCAAAAATAAGTCGAGGACAGTTTGTATGACCTGCATGAGAAAGCAAGTCACAGGCAGTGAGTAATACTGGATTTTTGCTCTTTTCTTCTGTGGTTCCCTTACTACAGATATAATTGAGAGGGAGAACAATATCCTTTTCAGAGGAGTATTAAGATGTAATAAACTCACAGTTCCCATATGTACAAAACAAGTCCCCTCGATGTATAAAACATGCAAAGTTTGAATCCCTAATGTATAAGATTAGGTTTATGCTTATTGTTAATATTGTTGCACTATTACCTTTGTTTGTATAGTTAAAAATTCCACAGTTGTTTGTAGTATAGCTCATTGATTTCAGGGGTTTATATCTTTACTCTGAGCTTTGGGACTCAGCATGCTGTACGAGAGAGATGTAGTATTATTATTAGGGCTGTCAAGCAATTAAAAAAATTAATCACGATTAACCACGCAATTAAAAAAATTAATTATGATTAATCGCACTGTTAAGCAATAATAGAATACCATTTATTTAAATATTTTTGGATGTTGTCTACATTTTCAAATATATTGATTTAAATTACAACACAAAATACAAAGTGTACAGTGCTCACTTTATACTTATTTTTGATTACAAATATTTGCACTGTAAAAAACAAGAAATATTATTTTTCAATTCACCTAATACAAGTACTGTAGTGCAATCTCTTTATCATGAAAGTTGAACTTACAAATTTAGAATTATGTACAAAAAAATGCATTCAAAAAGAAAACAATGTAAAACTTTAGAGCCTACAAGTCCACTCAGTCCTATTTCTTGTTCAACCAATTGCTCAGACAAACAAGTTTGTTTACATTTGCAGGAGATAATGCTGCTTGTTCACAATGTCATCTGAAAGTGAAAACAAGCGTTCTCATGGCACTGTTGTAGCCGGCGTCGCAAGATATTTACATGCCAGATGCGCTAAAGATTCATATGTCCCTTCATGCTTCATCCACCATTCCAGAGGACATTCATCCATGCTGATGACAGGTTCTGCTTGATAACAATCCAAAGCAGTGTGGACCGATGCATGTTCATTTTCATTATCTGAGTCAGATGCCACCAGCAGAAGGCTGACTTTCTTTTTTGGTGGTTCGGATTCTGTAATTTTGTGCATCGGAGTGTCACTCTTTTAAGACTTCTGAAAGCATGCTCCACACCTCATTCCTCTCAGATTTTGGAAGGCATTTCAGATTCTTAAACCTTGGGTCAAGTGCTGTAGCTATCTTTAGAAATCTCACATTGGTACCTTCTTTGCGTTTTGTCAAATCTGCAGTGAAAGTGTTCTTAAAATGAACCACATGTGCTGAGTCATCATCCAAGACTACTATAACATGAAATATATGGCAGAATGCGGGTAAAACAGAGCCAAGGAGTTCAGTCACAAAATGAATTAATGCATTATTTTTTTAACGAGCGTCATCAGCATGGAAGCATGTCCTCTGGAATGGTGGCTGAAGCATGAAAGGGAATACAAATGTTTAGCATTTCTGGCATGTAAATACCTTTCAATGATGGCTACAAAAGTCCCATGCAAACACCTGTTCTCACTTTCAGGCCATTGTAAATAAGAAGCAGGCAGCAGTACAGTATCTCCCGTAAATGTAAACAAATTTGTTTGTCTTAGCGATTGGCTGAACAAGAAGTAGGACTGAGTGGACTTGTAGGCTCTTAAATTTTACATTGTTTTGTTTTTGACTGCAGTTATGTAACAAAAAAAAATCTACATATGTAAGTTACACTTTCACAATAGAGATTGCACTACAGTACTTGTATGAGGTGAATAGAAAAATACTATTTCTTTTGTTTATCATTTTTATAGTGCAAATATTTGTAATAAAAATCATATAAAGTGAGCAGTGTAGACTTTTGTATTCTGTGTTGTAACTGAAATCAATATATATGAAAATGTAGAAAAACATCCAAAAATATGTAATGAATTTCAATTGGTATTCTATTGTTTAATAGTGTGATTAAAACTGTGATTAATCGTGATTAATTTTTTTGAGTTAATCGTGTGAGTTAACTGCGACTGACCGCCCTAATTATTATGCCACCCCAACTAGCCCCGCCCTCTGCAAAATTATTATTCTTGTAACATGCTTCATATCACAATCCATATTGTGAAGTAGTCCTTAAGATTCTGGGCCTGACTCTGACCTTGTTAACATCAATTTTATACCAGTTTTATACCATCGTTACCCCCATTGTTTTCAATAGAAAAAATATTCCCTATTTACATCAGGGTAAATGAAAATAAGGCCTTTTAGATGGCTTTTGGGGGCTGGGATGGAGAGAGGTCAGTATAAGAAAGGTAAATCACACACACTTTTTATATACTATGTGGATGGCTTGGTGTGATGTTATCTAATTAAAATATAACCATATAGATCATTGTTGCAACCACTGTTATATATTTGCAACAAATCTTGTACAAATGTTGTCTAGGGAGGCGTCTATGAAAAGGTTATTATTTGCTGGTTATGATTATGCTATCTGTATGCATGTATCATTTTTATATTTGAAGTTACGAGTATTGGCTTTATACTTGTATTTCAAATGTTTGCTCCTGGGATCCCGCCCACAAGGTAGCTAGCCAGCATATCTTGAAAGGACTATTCAAATTAAGTGGCTCATCAAGAAACACTTGGTTGACAATGGACCATGGGAGATGCCCTTCAACAGTGAATGGACTGTCATGTAAACGTGCTGTCTGGAGTGTAGGCTTCCTGCAATGACTCAGCGAAATTGGGCATGAACATGTGACACCATCTTGTTGCTGTAATTTTCCACAGTAAGAACAATGGGATGCCCTCCACATGCCAAAAACTATAAAAGGCCCTGGAAACACATCCATTTTGTCTTCAGTCCTGCTTCTTACCTCTGAAAGAACTTTGCTACAAACTGAAGCTCTGAACAAAGGACTGAATGACCCATCCAAGCTGTGGATGTACTCCAGAGACTTGACTTAAGCCAGGTGTTTATTCCATCACTGCTACAAGCATGAACCAAAAAATTTGCAACTAGTGTATGTATTTGATTCTTTTAACCAATTTTAACTCTCACCTTCCTTTCTTTTTATGAATAAGCCTTTAGATTTTAGATACTAAAAGATTGGTATCAGCGTGATTTTTCGGTAAGTTCTAAGTCAGGGATAGGCAACCTGCAGGAAGCCGCGGCCAGCACATCCCTCGGCCCGCGCTGCTTCCCGCAGCCCCCATTGGCCTGGAGCGGCGAACCGCAGCCAGTGGGAGCCGCAATTGGCCGAACCTGTGGACGTGGCAGGTAAACAAACTGGCCTGGCCTGCCAGGGGGCTTACCCTGGCGGGTCGCGGGCCAAAAGTTGCCGATCGCTGTTCTAAGTTATATATTGACCTGGGTGTATGGCTGGTCCTTTGGGATCAGAAGAATCTTTCATTTGATGAGACTGGTTGTAAAAAACCACTCATCTCTGAATCCAGTGTTTTTGGTGGTGATATATAAGAACTGGAAAGCCTGAGAAAACTGTCTTTATATTTTATTAGCCAGTGTGGTAAAACAAAAGTTTACTTTTGTTGCTGGTTTGGTATATCCTATGGGGGATTAGCCACCAGTCTTAGGGTGTATGTGCCCTATTTCTCAGCAGTTCATCCTGAATTTGGCATCCTCAGTTGTGACCCACTGAGGCACGGTTACAGTAGCATAGTCGGCAGGATCCACAGAACCAGGTCAATTAAGCTTTGGATCAGAACCCCACACTATTAAAATTTGAATGTTGATATTAAGTTTTAAAGGTTAAAGATCAGTGACCATGAGCCAGGTGGCATCAGCAGAAGCAATGAAACTGCAAGCCCTGAGAGACAGCCTGTGTCTTGAACAAAGACTGGCAGAACTTAGAATGCTAGAGAAGCAAGCCTTGGCCCAGCTGGAAAAAGAAGCCCATGCAAGGCATATGGAACAGCTTGCTGCTGAGGAGAGGGTTCGGCAGATGCAACAAGAAACTGCTAGACTTGAGCAATGGAAGAATGACAGAAACTGTATCATCTTGAAAGTCCAGTTTATAACAATGTTGGCATGTTGTATGACTCTGAGCAGTTGCCTGTGTTTAACCAGTTTTGCTATGGCCAGGGAGAGGGTGACTCTAACCTGGGGAAGGTGGAAAATAGCTGTTTGTCTGTGCAAAAAAGCAGTTTATGTGTAAATGAATTTTCTGAATGTCTGTCTAGTATCTCAGAAGTGAATCTGGAATTAGATAAAGCACAGAGAAAACTCATTGGTCAGGAAAATGTTTCTCTAGAACAGATTGAAGTTGATGGTCAAGTTGAAGCCCTAACTGAGGAAGAAAAGGGTAGATTTTTTTTTTTATTAGTGATGGATTGTTGGCAAGTAAAATTTGTGAAAGTCATCCTGAAAAAGGGAGATGCGATTTTCTTAAAGTAGCTCAGTGTAATGAGACTCTATTTGTGGAGAATAGCAGTTTATCTGTTGGGAGGGGCAACTTGCCTGTTACAGAAGCTGTATCACTTTCCAGGTATGTGTCTGAAATCAGCCCTGGGTGCTGGGACAAAGGAAAGGTTATCTCCAATTATTTGTCTGTTTTGAATAGCAGCAGCAGCATGCCTGCTGAGGAAAAGTATCAGAGGGGTAGCCATGTTAGTCTGAATCTGTAAAAAGCAACAGAGGGTCCTGTGGCACCTTTAAGACTAACAGAAGTATTGGGAGCATAAGCTTTCGTGGGTAAGAACCTCACTTCTTCAGTTGCAAGTAATGGAAATCTCCAGAGGCAGGTATAAATCAGTATGGAGATA